GGGTCGAAGAAATCCCAAGATGGCTCTGAATCAGGAGGAGGAGGAGGCGGCGGCGGCATTGAGAATGCCGATGATTGGTCGTCTAAATAAGAGTTTATAGAGGGATTGATTCTAACAGTCACAGCCGTGGGACCCCCTGATCTCATATAACTCAAACGAGGCATGGATGGCGTAAGAGGGCTCTCATTGTGCAAGGGTGAGTCTGAAACATCAACAGTGTGAGATGGTGAAGGAGAAGGGTATGTGGATTGAGATGGGGTTTTGTCGGAAATGGAGAGAGAAGACTCGATCAATACCTCGGCCTCAGCGTAACGGCGAAGAGCGATTCCGACATTTCGGAGAGATTGAATGTAAGATACATGAGCAGCAACGAGATCATATCTTGAATCCATTGCTAGTTTGATGAATCGCTTCCGGTCCCTGCAGAGACGCAATGGTTCATTTTTCTCCGTTTTCGAGCTGGCAACTCCCATTTTCATCTCAATCACTTGAACAGCACTTTTCTATATCACATCCATTAACTAAATAATCCAACATTACAGGTTGGGAAAGCTCAAACCTCGTCCGACATTTCAACCAAGAGCTCTAGCAGCTCAAGTTTCCAACTTTAAACCCCATTCCTTACTTAACAAGGCAAGCTTCACCCCGACATTTTCTGGAATACTTAAAAATAGAGAGTGAACGAAGAGGAAGATGAACCAACACAGTAAATCACGGGAGGAACAGGCCCTCCTCAATGTTGAAAATCGAACCCTGATGGTTCAGACAAAAGAAAACCAAGAAACGATCGGGCCCCCGAGGCACATGTGCAAGGAAAGGAACAGGACCTAGGTGGCAGTTACTCGTTGAAATGAGCCCCAGCTATGCTCTTTCCTTCATATTTCACTCTGGCGAGCCGAAAGCACGAGAATAGTTGTTTTCAAGGACAATAAATGGCCAATGAAGTTGGAGGAAACCTGAATTACTGAATCTTGAGGCGTCTCAGTCTACTTCTGCTTGAAGGGAGCGTATGGAGGAGTAGTAAATAAAATGCAGGAAAGAACCAGAAAACACAGAAACAAAAGAAACAAATATGAATGGGAAAGAGATGTTCGATGGAGAGAGAAAGAGAGAGGAATCTGAAACAGTAGTTAGCGATAGTGAGGGTTCAGAGAGAGCCTCGGGTTACGTGTGAGGCAGTCTCCTTAATTCATTCCAGTTCACACCATACGCTACCAGCAAGACAAAGCTTTTAAACGGGATTATTAAAATTATTAATTGGGTCGCAAGAAAAGAGGAAGGTTGCGTTCAGTCCACAAAATGACAAATCCCACCGGTGCTATGCTCAGGAGATTGATGAATTGATTACAAGATTTTCTAGGAGGAGAAAACTTTAATGGCGGCATCAGATAAGAGCAATGAATATGAAATGAGAGAAGAATTGTTGTTACTGTTGGGAAAGGTGCGAAGATGACAGAAATACCCTCAGGATTTCTCGCATGTCGAGAAAATTAAAGTAAACATCACTAACGGCTCCTTTAATTCCGGTTCTGTTTCTGGGAATTGGGCTCATGGCGACCCTTTATTACCTTATTATTTTTACGGGTTCCATGATGAAACAGTCATTTGCTAACTAATGGGGTTACGTCTAATAGAAGAAGTTACTCCCTCACAACGTAGTGAATTACTCCTTCCGTTTTTTATTATAAGAGACAAATAACCAAATTACGTTGATAAAAAAAACAGTTAAAATTAGTTGAGAACAATTAATGTGTAAAAAATATAATGTTTTTTCCAATAATACCCCCATTAATAAAGAGAGAGAGTATGAGAGAGAACAGTTAAATTATTAAAAGAAAGAGAAGTGAGAGGGAGAGAGAGTATGAGTTGGAGACAAAATAAATAGGGGTAAAATAGGAAATCAATACAAAAAAATAGAGACAACTTTTAAGTGTCTCTTATATATGGGAACATGCCATAAGCATCAAATGTCTCTTATAATAAGGAACGAAGGGAGTAATGTTTAAATTTTCACTGGGGGAAGTGTCTATATTTAATACCTAAATTTTCAATGGGGTTAGGTCTAATAGAAGAAGTTACTCCCTCACAACGTAGTGAATTAATGTTTAAATTTTCACTGGGGAAGTGTCTATATTTAGTACCTGATAGTGTTTTAAATAGGATTGTCTACAATAGGAAAATACCTATATTTTAGTGAGAGAAAAAAAGAGTCATTTTCTAAACAATCTCCCCAAATGCCTGGTTGTAGATTTGTGGTCGGATTGAAGATATTAAAAAAAGTTATAATTTTTTCATAAATTTGTATAATTAACATTATTAATATTTGAATAACTAGAAATTTTCGGGTGCTCCCTGGGGAGCAAACCCATGATCCATTAGTCAAACTGGATGCTTGATCCACACTCCTTTACCGGAAAGATTGATCATCAATCACCAATCAATAAAGGAAAAGAAGACAGTCAGACAAATATAACCAAATTTTATATGGTTCTCTTTAGATTTCCTTTTCCTTTTTCTTTAGCTGTGTGTGTATATGTGTATATCTATATTAATTAATTAGAAGAACAAACGCCGACGACATAAAGTTAGATAGGAAGTTCGACCCATAATTACCCTTAAACTATGTTTGGTACGGGATTTTTGGAGGGGCGGAGAGGCTCCTCCCCTCCCCTCGTTTGGCTGGTGTAATTTTTTAGGAGAGGAGGGGAGCCCATCCCCTTTCCTCATTTGGTTAAGATGTTTTTTAAAGAGGGGAGGGATTCTTCTCCCCTTCTCTTCCCTTCTAGCCTTCCCTCTAAAAGTGGGGTTTTTTGGAAGGGAGATGAGAGATAATATTTTAATTCCTTATATACCCTTTTAATTTGTTAACCTCTAATCAGTCGTAAACATTTCTATATAAGAGAGTTTTTTTTGAGCATCTAACAAGAGGTTATTAAGATAATTGTCTCCAAAATTAGTGAGCATTTGTAAACTTTTTTTTTCTCTTCTTCTAATTCCAAGAGGTTGTTGGTATTTTCTTTCACCTTCAAGGTCTTTTCTCTGATTGAAATCTATCACTCGTGACTTTTTATCTTGATATTCTATAAGTGTGTGACTATGTCTTGTAAATCAAAATTGGTGAATTGTATTATATATATAGTTATATCTTAACAAAATAAAAAAGTGAGAAAATTCATTTAAATTTTATGAGGTTAAAATAGTCAATTTTTTATTAGAACAAAATAAGGTATTATTAAAATTGCTCTCTCCCCTCCCCTCCAATCAATCTAAACAGGAGATCATTAAAATCCCTCCCCTCCCTTCCTCCTCCCTCCCCTTCCCTTTGTAGCTACCCTCTCATTTCTTTCCCTCCCATTTCTTTGATTAAAATCTCTCCCCTCCCCTTCCCTCTATCGAGCCAAATATAGCGTTAGTGGAGTTAGAAAGGGACTAATCTGATGTTTTCTTTTTTGAGTTTTGTGGGGTCTTCAAGCTTTGGATCACAGATCACGACCAACACTACTCAAATGTTCTCAAGGAATATGCAGAAGCTTCTCAATCTTACCTACCACTCACTCCACTCCATAATGGCGGATTCGTGTTCATCTGCTTTGGGGCAGTGTAATGATTTCCTCAATTCATCCTAGGATTTTTAAACTTGATCTAACCCCAAAAATGCAAAGTTGAGTACAAATCATATTATTAAAAATAATAATAATAAAAGTGAGCACCTAAATTTTATTTTTTAAGTGCATACAACATCCTAATTTTATTTTGGTATTAGATATAACTAAAAAAATAATAGTAGGACATTGAACATACCAAAAAATAAGATTAAGATATTAAATATTCCTGAAAAATAAAATTAGGTATTGGATGTATCTTTACCTTAGAAAAAGTTGTTTTTTTATTTGTACTCTGCTTGAAATTCACGTAACCGTACTAAAATAAAATGTGCCTTGGCTTTTAGTATCGTATTTTTAATAAAAAAAATGTGGGTTAGCTTTAATAATTGAAAAAGTTGCTTTGGTTTTAAGGATGATCTCAGTATGATTTGAAAATGATGAAAGCGGTTTTAAAAATTATATTTATTTTCCAGACAATAAATCTTATTGATGTAAAAAATTATTTAAAATGAAAAAGTTGCAGTTGGAGATTTCATTTCCATTCTGTCTTCATGATACATCCAAGATCATTTAAACCTGCTTTATAAAAAGAGCAAGCCTCTTCAGCTATGTCCAGTTATCATTATATTTTCTTTCTTAATTATATGCTTCTTCAAACATTTGTCTTCAACTTTAAGCCATCTGATATGGGAGAACTTTCAGATTAGAGAAAAATGTGAGAGGTTTGAGGCGTGTTAGGTCAGAGACTAATAACTTTACTATCAGATAGCTAGGCTTGAAGCCTGCATTTCATTTCAAGCCTACACTCTCATTTTATTATATTTATTCATTTCAAGACAAGCTAAGCCTGAAGAAGAGACAAGAAAAACAGAAACACAACAAATACGATGACCCAGAATTTGACTATTACTCTAATTCGTACTAGGAATGGTCCAAGCGTGACTGAATCTGGACAAGACCACGAGATTCGAACTTGGTTTCGGTCTCCTAAAAATGAATTCTTTGTAAATATATTTAGACGCGTATGGAGAATTGGACAAGTAAAGATGGGCTGAGAAACAGCATTTACATTATGAGGTGTGATCCACATTTCTCTCTTTCTTTCCTAAGGTGCCAAACACATAAAGTTATTCTGACAGAATACGTACGCCATTAATGATCCAAACAATATCACTTCCTTCAAACCGTGACATGAATGAACGGTAGTATTGTTAGTATTTACATTATGTGTAAGGGTAACGTACATCAAGTCAACAAGAATGCCTTGGGACATGAAATTTGCACTCACTGATATATCCTCTCTACTTGCAACATTACACATCATGGGCTTTGTAAAATTTTGTATGATCTTTTGGGGAGGAATGGAAAAAATTAACAAGAACGACAAGCCAGTGAGGTGAAGAAGAAACTAATCATAGAAACTATGCCTCTGAGGAATTACACAGGTGTCGTCGTATTCTAGTCTTGGGAAGGCATAGGAATAGCCCTTCCTGAACCTGTTCATCACGTTGTTTCTGCTTCTTGCTTCCACATCTACAGCAAATACCGCACACACAGGCCTGTGATCAGAAAATCTGGATTCCCCTCTTATGTAAGATAGTTGTTCAATCCCCTTCCCACGCCATAGTATCCTATCACACCTGATCCACCATCATGATCATATTTAACATTAACAACCCTTGCGTCAATATGTATCAGTAAGAGACTGAGCAGAATGATCATAGTACCAGGCGGGTGTTCGTCTTTTTTTCTTAGACTTTACAGTTTCTCCAGCGTATGAGTCTGAATTCTGTGAATACTTGTAAGTGGGAGCAAACATGATCCGTCCCTCGTCGAATCCATTAAACACTCTTCCTGCGTCTCTCTCCGTGTTCAGCTGTTTACATATATCATCAGTTTATTTATGCATTAATTAATAGTTTTGGATGGATATAGACAGACCTGATCTTTCTCTAACAAAGCGTCCCAGTCATTATCTTCCAGCAAGAATCTTGTTTCATCGTAACTCAAAGAGATCCGATAGTTCAAATCTCCTAGCCATATTATTCGACTGCGAGAAGTAGCTGTAATGATTAATAGGGAAGATGAAGAGCAGACGTACAATTAGGGAGGGACAGAATAATGGGAGGCCCATAACTCACTCGTGGTCAACTATCTTTTCCGGCGCTCGACGACAAGGATTCTTACCAATCCTAGGGAACTGTGTGCTTTTGAGGATCTCGGCCACGTCGGCATTCCTCCTCAGCTCGTCACCCTCTTTCTCCCCGGAAGCCAAATGACTACAAACGAAACAAAAAGTTGTTTGATGCAATGACATGCTAACTGATATACAACCCTGCAAAAGTAACCTGCGATTAGCTCCAAAATGATCAGTCCCAAATGATAATTAATGTGTCATACCTTGTTTCCGAGGCAACCCATGATTCCTCTGCCCACTGAATCTACTCTGAGATGGGCGATGTGAGGGACCAAGTCCTTTCTAGTCCATATGGAAAGAAAGATCCCAACCATCTGTTTACTTGATATGAGGCAGTATTTTGTTTCTTTTGGAGGCGGTGGTATTTCTGCAATTGAGAGGAATTGATCCATGGAAGGATCACGATACATTGGAGGTTCTACTTTACTCAACAGGTCATTACGCTTTCTTAGTCTTCGTCTTTCTCTGGAAGGTGAATCCAAAGAACAGTTGCAAGTCTTGAGCAGGCTGCTATCTGCTCTGTAGTTTCTGCTCAGTTCTTTCAGGGAAGACTTCTGAAAGAAATTCAGACTGCCTGGGGGCTTTGCGTCCTTCGAGTTGTTCTGTGTTGAGGTTTTGGAAGCATTTCCAGAATCAGAAGAACTGTCCGAGAAGACATTTTTGGGTTTATTTAGTGATTGATTTATCAGACTCAGCCACTTCGCTGCTGGTTCATTATCTTCAATTACCAACACATTGCCTGCGCTCAGAGGAACAATTTCCTGAAACCTGTATGTATGCACAAGTACGTCGGCCAACATTGCACTTTATAGTTCAATCACAAAATACACCACATTGTGAATCAACTACTAGTAAATCATAATCAAGTGCAATCTATGGAAGATACATACCCCAAGACATATATATCTGCAGAGCCCTCCACCAGTAAGAAATCTTCAAGATTGAGGCCTTGATTTGGTGTCTTTCCCCCCACATTCCAAGTAGCAACAAAGATCCTGTAATTTCCATATTTTGAAAATTCGTTCAAAACAAGAAAAATGATATGACGGCTTCATTTTTTTTCCTTACCTGAAAGACTGAATTTCAGTAACAGGAGCCATAGGCTGCTCGAAGTTGGACAGATTTAGGCCTTCGATTGCAGGGCTCGTCTCCCCTTTGGACATGAAATGAGAAATTAGTTAACATGATGCTTTTGTTTTTCTTAAAGTGATCTCCTAAAAATGTCAATAATTGATATGAATGTCATCCACTTGATGAAAGGGATTAAAGGTCAATATCAATTATGAAACGAAACAGCCTTATTTTCCCCACTCTGTGTTCTTGCCTTCTGTTTAGTTATATGTAGAGCATTGTAAAAGTCACTGTTGTTAGGTAAGCTACCATAATAATGCAGGAAGACATAAGGGAGATTTCATCTTGCTTGATAGGTACTTGGCTCTGGTAGTGTACCAGACCGGTTGGATCCTGAATCTAGGGTTGACCCACCCTTTATTTAACCTAAACCCCCTGGAATCTGATTTAATTACATTATAATCATGAACAGGAATCGTTTTATAATAATAAAATTTCAATAAATAATTGAAGTTTTGGATTATGTAGAAAGTGCGACATGAATAGTCAAAAGCCATATACCTGAGAAACTCTTTCTCATAACAGGGGACGCAGGGGACACATTTGCGAAAGCTTTTCTCTTCGAATCAACCACCTTCTCTAAATCTTTGTAAATAAACAAAAGGAGTTATTGAAAGGAAAACCAGAAAACGAAATCGGAAAACCAGAAGAAAGGGAGGTGTAATACCGGGAAATTGAGCGATTCTATCTACATCTGGTTTGAGCTCGTCGTCATCGGAGCCTCTCCCGCTTCGCTTTGATCCGAATATCTTAGGAAGAATAGACTTGATCCCAAGAAAACAGGACGATCAGAAATCACACAGAGATTATCGTCGGAGAGGAAACAACGAGAAAGAAGAACCTCACCTTCTTCTTGCGGTCATTCTTGACAGAATTATCAAGGGAGGAGTCAGCCGGGTGTGGGGGGCTGAGGGCGGCGGAATTAGCCTTCGTCATTTCAGAACTGGCATTGGAGATGGGACGTCCTGATGGAAACGAAGACATTCATTCATGTTTTCTGGGATTCAAGGATCCGATACGAGAATTGACATCGGCGTTGAAGGCCGTCTTGGTGGTTCATTTGGGTAAAAATTGCTTGAATTAAAATGAGTTTGCCAAGAATGAAAGGTTTTTCTGGTTGATTGGGATGTGTTTGAAAGAATGAGATTTTGGCGCCTGAGCTTTCGGAACACTTCAGGACGACAGCGAACCGAGGAGAGTCAGACCGTTGAGTACCACTTTACAGTTTACACCATAACCCCTCCGATCTTTTATATGTTTCCGAGGGTTGATTTTATTGGAAAGATGATTTTTGAATTTTCAAAGGAGTCAGAAGAAGATATTGCTCCAAGACAATTACATTTAGAAAAAATTAATTTGCAGGTCCTTAAAATTTTCTTTTACTTTGAATCAGGTTCTTATACTTATTTTTCTTTTTACTGGATCCGTAACTTGCTACCATTGGGTCCCTTAGTCCTGCTGTTAAATAATCATTAACACCGTCAATGATTTGCGCTAGCAATGACGGAAACATCTCCTCCTTCCGCCATAACACCATGTCCAAGTAAGCTCTCTCCTTTTTCCGTCGCCCATGCCCCTCCAGCTTAGAGAGAGCCGCCTCGTGTATTATACTATAATGCAAAGAAATACATTCCAAGTGCTTTAAGGTCAAGTCGAAGGCCACTGAGACTGGACAGAAACGCCGGTTTAAAGGAAAGAAACGCCGCACCGGGGGATGGTGATGACGGTGTCACCATGATGCCGGGATTAATGGTTGTTGGGATGCTCCTAAAAATAAAGAATGATAATGAATTATACGAGGCAGCTAAAACCAGTCTGTAACAAAATTTCATACGGTACAAACAACATTTTAATCAGATACGAGAAATGCCTCTGTTTTTTCGTGCTAAAACAGGGGAGCCCATCCTTCACTTTTTTAGTTTTCATTTCATCATTCTCCAAGTGTATTCCTCACTCTGAACTCTTCCAAGTTTCTAGACTATCGTTTTTATTTTTTGCCTCTCATGTTGTTCTGTTGCATGATTGTCCGACAGGGGCGGAGAAGGATGGTGAAGGAAACATGACGGTGGGGATGGCTGAAGAGGATTCCGGTGACCCTGTGAGCAAGGGAAGGAAAGGTGTCATGGAGAGCAGGGGAGGAATGGTGAGTCGTTTACAGGTCGAGAGAAGTGCTGAGAATGAGCGAAGGAGAGGGTAGGGTTATGGGGGAGGGAAAGAGAAGGTGACGTTTCAGAGGTGGCCAACGGAAATTATTAACAATGTTGATGGTTATTCAACCGACTAACCCTCAGGATTAACGAATCTAACGGCTAGAAAACTAAGACCCAATAAAAAGGGGGAAAAAATATAGAGGGACAGTATTCGAAAATGAAAGTAGATTGTTGGGGGAAAAAAAATGAAAGTAGATTATAAGCACCTTCAAATTAATTTCCCCTTATATTTATATTTTAATACTACCTCCGGTCCTAATTATAAGACCCAGTTGATTTATTTGAGGAGATTAAGGAAGTAAGTTAAGTTAGTTATTTGTAATAAATAAGTGTTGTCATTCCTAAAATATCCTTGCTAATTAAGTGTATTGGCTAGAACTATCATTGTTAGAAGGATTATCTTGGGAAAAAATGCATAAATATGAGAGACAAAATGGATTGGGGTCTTATAATTAGGACCAAACAAAAAGTCAAATAGGGTCTTATATTAAGGATCGAAGGTAGTATATAATTTTAGGTTTTGACATTACAAAGCTCAGAAGGATCAAAAGGGCAACGGAGCCAGTGTGTGTGTATCTAGTTATCTACATATAATTAAAATATTAGTATAACTACGAGCTTTTTCATGTGGCCAGGGGACAAAATTAAATATAAAATTAGACGCCACAACAATTGTTATGAAGTGCCAATTTTAATTTTTTTTTTGGGAAAATGCCAGAAAAATGCACCTCCAACTCCAAAAGCCCAAAAACGTCCGCCGAATTTCAGTAATTCCGTTTTGGTACCAGCAGACCATTCTGGGATTATTTTCTTAGACAAAAAGACCAAACCGCCCTCAGTGTTATTTTAAACAAAAGGTGGGAACAGAGGCGGTTTTTCGACTCTCTCATTCTCGACCCCTGTTGCAGCCGACGGAGCGAAGAAGAGAGGAGAAGAGAGCGGAGGAGGAAGCTACTACCGGCGTCGAAGAAGAGAGAAGAGACGAAGGAAGAGCGTTTGGTGGTCACCATCGAAGAAGAGAAAGGAAAAGAACGACGGAACGGCTACATTGCGGCAATCGATCGAAGGTGAGGAAGAGAGAAAAGGAGGAATTTGCGGTGAGACAGAGGTAAGTTTGTTAACATTTCTTCCTTCTCTGTGTTTGTTCAAGTTATATATTTGATATTGCTACTACTTTTAAGATGTCGATCGAATGTGTGTGAGAGGGAGTGGGCAGTTTCTGGAGATGAAAATGACAAAGTGAATGTGCAGAAAGTGGAGGACCCACTAGATTGCTTGCATTTCACCATATGATGACTGATATACTTTCAGGAGTGTGGACCACATACACAGCCCACAGCCCCGTACCTTTTCTTTTCTTGTTAATGATTTCACTGTTTCATCACTACTTTATCTCTACCTTTTTGTTCTTTTCATTCACATTTCCCACTCCTCCAGCCCAGCCACCAAGCTATTCCTGTCAGCTTAATTAACATCGATGACACTGTTATCTCTATGGACAATAATTGTCTTTCATCTATTAGCCTAAGTTAAATGCATATTAGTATAATTGTATAGTTTGATTTAAGGTATGAATCACAGTGATGGTGTGGGGGAGTGTGTATAAAGGTGTAGAGGGCGCCAAACTTAAAATAATTATTTGAAAAAAAGGTGAATGTACCCACTGTCATGTAATATATATGTGTTGTTAATCCCTACACTGGAGTTGTAAAATTGTAACCGAAGTTGGAGAAAAGGGTTTGTGTTTTCTTGAAAATGCTGTTGTGAATAGCCATACTGAAGTTGTAAAAGTATATGTAGATGTTGTTAAGCCGTACACAAGGGTTGTAAAGTTGTAACCGAAGTTGGAAAAAGGGGTCTGTGTTTTGTTGAAAATACTGTTGTGAATAGTCATACTGAAGCTGTAAACATGTATATAGATGTTGTTAATACCTACACCGAAGTTGTAAAATAGTAACCCCGAAGTTGGAAAAAGGGGTCTGTGTTTTCTTCAAAATGCTGCTATGAATAGCCATACTGAAGTTGTAAATACTTATATAGATGTTGTTAATCCCTACACTGGAGTTGTAAAATGGTAACCGAAGTTGGAGAAAAGGGTTTGTTTTCTTGGAAATGCTGTTGTGAATAGCCATACTGAAGTTGTAAAAGTATATATAGATGTTGTTAATCCGTACACAAGGGTTGTAAAGTTGTAACCGAAGTTGGGAAAAGGGGTCTGTGTTTTGTTGAAAATACTGTTGTGAATAGTCATACTAAAGCTGTAAACATGTATATAGATGTTGTTAATACCTACACCGAAGTTGTAAACTAGTAACCCCGAAGTTGGAAAAAGGGGTCTGTGTTTTCTTCAAAATGCTGCTGTGAATAGCCATACTGAAGTTGTAAATACTTATATAGATGTTGTTAATCCCTACACTGGAGGTGTTAAGTTCTAACCGAAGTCGGAAAAAGGGGGTTTGTTTTCTTCAAAATGTTGTTGTGAATAGTCATACTTAAGTTGTAAATATGTATATAGATGTCGTTAATCCCTACACTGGAGTTGTAAAGTTGTAACCGAAGTTGGAAAAAGGGGTCTCTGTTTGCTTGAAAATACTGTTGTGAATAGCCATACTGAAGTTGTAAACATCTATATATATGTTGTTAATACCTACACCGGAGTTGTAAAATAGTAACTCCGAAGTTGGAAAAAGGGGTTGTGTTTTCTTGAAAATGCTGTTGTGAATAGCCATAATGAAGTTGTAAATACTTATATAGATGTCGTTAATCCCTACACT